ATCATGTCCTGATGTGAAGGTATTAGCGCTTCACATCTGCCTCTAACTGCTGGACTCCTTGAACTGCCCACTGACTCACGTTTTAACCTCAGCTGTTGCAGTCAGTAGGCTTTACTTAACCTGCTGAATTGTGTCATCAGTGTGCTTCAGAGTGTCGCCGTCAACATCAGCATTCAGTTTACTGATGTCATAACTCACCTTTAATCCATCCTCAGGTGGAAGAGTGAAGACCTGGAAGCGGCGCTGGTTTATTCTCACTGATAACTGTCTCTACTACTTTGAATACACCACTGTGAGTACTTCTTGTTTCACTGTGAAAATAAATGATTACTGGATGTAACTGTGGACAGCCTGAACTATTTTTTTTTTCCTTTCTGCTGTTTAAAAGGACAAAGAACCCAGAGGGATTATTCCACTGGAAAATCTAAGCATCAGAGAAGTCGAGGACTCAAAGAAGCCGGTAAACCGCTGCTCTCTTTGTTTTTGTCCTGTGATTGAAGAGATCAAAGTCTCAGAGATCAGAAAAAGATGGCAAAAACAGGAGGGGACACAAATCTCTTTGGGTTTGCGTCAGGAACAGCATCCCACATAAATCTGCCAAATCAAACATGCAGAGCTAACCGCTGTGGCGACCCTCTGTTAATAAGGGAGCTGCTGAAAGCAGCTTACAAAGGATTTCAAAAAGCAAAGCAAAAATAAACCGTGTAACCATGTCTCCAAAGTAATGATGACTTTGATTTTCTTGTGATACTAGTCCTTATTTTGCATGTTTTCCTTAGTTACTCCCATGATTATTATGGACGCATAATTAAAAACTAAAGGTTATAATCTTCAGCATGGGCAGCCAAGTTTGTGAATGTGACAACTTGAGAACGAGAACGGGGTCGCTCTTGTGGTCGTCAAGTATTTTTAATTTTGGAGGAAGCCTAAAGTCGTACCTGGAGGAGCCAGAGATTTAGCCACTTTTTCCACTGGCTTCAAATATTTGATGACTTTATCCAAAAATAGGGTTTTAAAAAAAAGTACATATACTACACAGGTGCAAGCCTGAAAAAGCATTAAAAAACCCACAACATACCCAACGATAACTCCAGCAAATGAACAATGAACACGTGACCGTCCACCTAGAATCAGTGCACCCTCAACCTGCTGATGGAGCAACAGTTTATATAAAGTTTATATAAAGTTTATATTACAGCGTTGAACACGTTCAGTACAGAGCGAAAACAACCGATCACACATGTAACTTGTTTACTCGCCTTCCTGCCTCAACCATGATCTCTCTCAGAACTGCTTCGAGCTGTTCATCCCCAACCACAAAGATCAGGTGATCAAGGCCTGCAAGACGGAGGCAGACGGCCGCGTCGTCGAGGGAAACCACACTTTCTACAGAATCTCCGCCCCAACTGCGGAGGAGAAGGACGAATGGATCAAAAGCATCAAGTGAGTTTCAGTTTTGTTTTCTCTCCCTGCAGAGGGTCAAACTAATGATGACGATGAAGAAAAAGTGGAACTGCTGTCCTTCTCTCTGCAGGGCTGCCATCAGCAAAGACCCGTTCTATGAGATGTTAGCTGCTCGGAAGAAGAAGGTCTCCTCCCTGAAGGGGCTGTAGAGCTGCTGAGGATAAAACAACCGCAGGCCTGTTTCAGGTGGACCTGACATTCCCGCTGCAGACCTGAACCTGGCGGAGGATTCACCTCTTAAAGCGGCTTGTCTTTTGTCCCCTTTTCAACAGACACACCTTCAGAACCAGCGCTCCCTTCTTTACAGGTCTGACCTCCTGCTGACACTTTATTTCCCATCTGCAGCTAATGTTATTCAGACAGAGACCGCTCTTTTGTTTGCTGAAACGTCACCATTTTAGAGTCCTGCTGCTGCAGTACTGTAACGATGCTGCGCTGCCCTCCGGTTAGCTCTCCCGCTCATCTTGAAACCTGCTGTAAGGACTGTTGACAAGCATTTGAATGACCTCTGAGCCTTTTCGCACAATCAGTGTTTGGTCTGCTTGAGTACAGCAAGTCCCTACAGCTGCTGAAAACAGAGAGAGCGCGGGAAATGTTGTCAGTTCACGTCTCCAGAGGAGTGAACTACGAAGCGAAGTTAATGAGTTAGCGAGGTAGCGAGCCTGAAGTTGTTTTGTTGTTGTTGTTCAGAGTTTTGGTTTAAAATCAACAGCAAAAAGCAGCCCAGTGACAAACTAACAACACATAAGGAAGTACAGGAAAACCTGCTCAAAAACAGCTGTGTGTTTACAGTGACTTCAATCAAATTCAATTCAATTTTATTTACATAGCGGCAAATCACAACAGTCGCTTCAAGGCGCTCAAATCAACGATGCCAACAATACGTTTCATTGCTCCTGCTTGTCTCTGCAGTTTTCCTAGCTGCAAATCCAAAACGTAAATCTGATCTGGAAACCAGCAAGAAGTTATCACTTCTGTCCTGTGGTGTGGTCCACCATCAAGCTGGAAATGGACTGTCACCAGATCGCTCCTAAATCATTGTAAGGAGTTTTTGTTTTTTTAGTATTAGTATATTTTTTAGTATTTAGTATTGTTAATACAGTACCTATTGACCCTTGGTAAGTATATTAAAATTATGCCAATAAAAATAACAGAAATAGAAAACGTGATTGTTCTTCACCATCATATAAAAAAATACACATCGCCATTCTAATTACACTCACATCTACAGGCACCTGTTAACCTAACGTGCACACCTGGAGAAAACCCAAGACATTCATGCTGCAGGACAGCAGTCCTGACCCTCATAAAATAAGAATTCATATGATGACGTGGCAAAGGAAATAAACAGTAATACTATTAATAGAAATAAGTAAAGTTAATCACAGCTGTAGCAGACTGGAGTTGTGTTGAAATGTGTCTGCTTCATAGTGCACTCCTCTGGACGGAAAAGTTTGAGATAAAATAAACGACTCCTCGTGAAAGCTGCACAGCAGCAGAATCTGAGATTCTGACTTTTCTGAAGCTGACGAAGATTCAGCTCAGGACTCAGTCGAGACTCTGAGCAGCGTTTAGTTTGTTGCCATACATTTCCCCCCCTGCCCCGTTTTGTTACTACTGTTGATCTTCTGTCCATGAAAAGGAAGGTAAAACAGAAATAGTCAAATATTTATTTATCCACATTTCTTGTAATTTATTGTTTTTGTCTCAATAAAAGTTTGCAAAGAATCTTCTGCTCCTGTTTGACTTCATTATTTTACTGAAGTTGTTTTATTGTTCATTTGTAATGAATAAGTTTGATTTAAAATGAAGTGAGAATGGTTCCGATTAGTTTTCTCTAAGCACCTTCTGAGGTTGTTCGACCGCATTTCTTCTGTAGTGTAAACACTAACGTGTCCTGATGCAACCTAGACAGTCATTAATGCAGGACATGGTGGCCTCTGCAGTCACCTGTAACCTCATCCTGCCAAACAGCTGCAATAAACTAAACACAGCCGGCCTTTTATCTTGTATAACCTTTTTTTTTTAATGAACTTTTGTATGGGTTTAATTCCAGTGCTCCCTGTCCCACTTGACCTCAATCTAAAGCATGCCGCCAGCTACCGAACACAGGTTTCAATACTCTGTTCTCATTCATTTAAGCACTTATCTCACCTTTATCTAATGTAACTCATGAAGCAGCCAGTCATTCTAGCAGAGCTGTCAGTAAACTACGTTATCTTCTGTAAAGTTTCCCCACATCCTGCTAATGTTGATGTGACCTGATTACTCTGGAAAACCACAGCGCATATCAAGGAGATGAAAGCACGAGCACTGAAGCAGACCTGGGAAATTCCCCTTCCAGCGAAAGGTACGGCTGAAGTAGTACGTGTTAGAGCTGTGACAGAAGGCAGACTAATCAGACATGTGTCGCACTCCGCAAAATATTAGTACGAGTCGATCTCGCTGTGTTCTTCTCAACTGGCAAGAGTGGCTCACGCAGTGTTCACTAGTGACGATTAGTCAACATTTGAATCATACTTGATGGCCGATTTGTGGTCAAACACCCACATAATTCCAAAATTCATGATAGGTTTTTTTTCTCCAAGTGGTTACAAACTAATTTTTATGACAGCTGTCAGAGCTTTACAGTGTGAGCTGTCGTCACAAAGCAAAACAAAGGGACATCATAAAAAAGAAGGAAACTCGAAAGTGATTGATCTGAATGCAGTGGAAAACACACCACAGGGTTGAGGTACCTGAAGCTGCAAGAGGCTGAAATGGTTCCAAACTGAAGCCAGATCTTAGTGGAGGAACCAGGAAAGATGGAGGCTTATTGCTTAAACCTTTTTAATTTTATTGGGATTATTTTACAAAAATAGCTTCATGTTGTATAATGACTTGAAACTAAGATCAAAAACACATCAGGAAAGTATTCAAGTGAGAATTTGAGGTTTTCTTGTAAACTTTTATACAAGCATATTTGTTTTTGCAACCAGAGAAGTCGGCCCCTGGTGGCCATTAGAAAAAATGCATTTCCGCATTGGCCTCACTGAAGCTGTCTGTCAAGGTCAGTCATTCCCAAAATAATTTGACTTTAAAGTCAAATAGATTTCTATTTTCTATTCAGTTTTTCTTTTAGAATCACAAAGGATGCTTTGGTTTTGTTTTTTGTTATTTAGACTAAAATTTTAAAATCTTTACATTTAAAAAGAAACAACTAATGAAACGAGGCTGAATTGTTAATTTAATGAAGTGATGAATAGGATTCAACAAATAAAACAAAAGATTAAAAAAAAGACTGAAAACACACAAAGAATAAGGAACACAACAAAAGCAAACAGAGCAGCTTCAGAAAACATTTTTTTATATTTAACATGTAAAAAACCAGCAGGAGTGGTCGTCGAGCAGAAAAACCAAAACAAAGAGCTAATAGACACCAAACCTCAGGAAACCTTTCACGTCAGCTTTGTTTCATCTCTCGTTTAAAGCTTTTCCACACGAATCGCTGAACTCGAGCTCAATCAGAAAAATCAAACGCTTGAGGACACTTTAAAAACTCACCACACATTCACTCTTTAATTTACAACAATAACACAGACTGTACAGTCAACTTTACTGCAGGCAGAGCTGTAAACACAGCGTCAAAGGCTCATCGAGGGGTCGTCACCAAACAACCTTCATCTGATCAGAGACGTTCACACATGAAGTGCCTGCTTTTTTTCTCCATGCATGCAACACATACCTGTGGACGTGTATGTATGTTAACAGAAGTATGTTTGTGTTTTTTTTATGCTTGTAGTTAATAACACTACAAAACCAGAGTCCCACAGTGCTATGACGTCATGTGTTAATACATAAAGAGTGTAACGGTGTGAAGGTGGATCCAGAGCTTTAACAAACAGGATTTACCTCCCGAGTCCGCCACATACATGTGCTGCTGTGTGTGTGCATGTGTTTCAGTCACTTCCTATGACACACAGAGGACGCCGGCTCCCAGCGTGCTGAAGGTCATCCAGAGTGTGCTTCTTCCACAGGAGCTGGCCGACCTCCACCTTCAATTCATGTCCAGAATGGACTGTCTGCCACCTGCGGGAAAAAAAAAAAAAAAAAGCTCAATCTGCTGATTCCCGAGTGATTTTTAGTTGTGGTTTGTGGTTATCATAAAGGACATGATGTGAAGGCTGAGAGTCTGGCAGCACTGCCGAGGTCTTCCTCATTATCACCATTTTTGTTTGTTTTCTAAATGATTTCTGTCCTTGAAGACAACCTGAAGGTTTTTCTAAAATCCTAAAAGACTCTTATTAAGCTGGAATAAAACATTAGAAAATATGGAGCAATAATAACACCTGCTAGCTGGCATCAATACATGTTAACAGCAGTATTAACACAGGCTAAATGAGCCTGTGTTAATTTATTCCTTACGGTTTAAGCCCAAACTCACGCTGACAGTTTTCTACGCCAGCATTTCTTTATCGTGTAGAAAACCCGAGACACACTGGTTAAAATTGCGCTTCTTTATCTTATATTAAGATATCTCAGAGATTAAATGTGTAGTTAAACTTGTTCACAGTGACAGAAACTGGAGTCCAGCCCACATAAGCTCAGAGTGGGCTGTTTGTGGCCTGTGATGTAAAATTAGTTTGACATCCCCGCGATGAAATGTTTTATCACAGGGACGTCAAACTTTTACTCTGAATGCTCCGTTTCTGGTTTGAAACACACTTTTTTCAGTTTCTGTCTTTCATGCAGGTAGTGAGGATTTGTAAACAAGTTGGCATCTTGAAAGCAAACTAGGGGCAACCTGCCAGCATGCAAAGCAACCACAAGCAGGTTTTTGGTGCAGCATCCTCTGCACTTGATTTCACCCAGCAACTACTCACATGCAAACAAAGTGCATGTTTCCAGGGGACTGCTGACTAGTCTTTAGCAGTGATCTACTGTTAGACTTTTTTTTTTATATTGACTGTTTTATATGTTTAAGCACTTTGACCTACAAAAGCAGCATTACTGTACTAAAATGATAATTATTATTATTAATATATCTGTTTGACTGCATGAGCACTGAGCAACCAAATGGCTCACAGGTACATTACTTATCTATATCATATGGTATTATGTGATCACGCTGCATGGCAACCAACTATCAAAGGGCTAATATGACCCATTTTTAGCATTTCAGAACCTATATTACCTTTAAAAAAATGACATTGTTTTAATTCCATGATAATAAAAACCTGATCCGCAGAAAGAGCAGAGCCTCCACTTTTATCCATCTTAAACTCACCTTTGTTTTAATATTTACATCATTTCCAACAAAACAACAAGACCTTTGGCATTTTCAGCATTTTAGTAACAGGAATATGAGGTTTGGTTACATAACCTCACATTTATAAACAAATATACAAATTCGATTTGTATATTTGATTTGCATTCATCAGCTGCTTAAAAAAAAACATGTTTTTTGCTTTTCCTTTAAGGCACAAAGAGACCTGTTGCTTCTACTTTTATGTCTGATAATTACGGTGAAATTAATTCACATATGCATCTTCTCAGTGCTTACATGAGTTGGTTAATGTCCATCACAAAGCACAAACTTTGGAGCCCTTGTGCAGTGTTACATTTTATATGTTCAGGGTGGAAGCTTTGCTGTGTCCTTTCCTGGACTCTTCCATAGACTTTTCCATATAATTTTGTCAGTGCAATTTCAAATGTTAAATTTAATAGAATCTGATCACTATACATTTATATGTTGTTGGGGTTTTTTTTATCTTAACAAGTTGGTGTGATTACATGAATTTAAGACGATTACCTGGCAGAAGTTCAGGTTCAAACTGATTTTGATGGTTTACATTTCCTTAGCTTTAAAAGTTCATATTTCTGGTTGTTTTTGTGTCGTATTTCTCTGACTAAATAAAATTAACTTGGAAAATGTCTTGTAGTGTCTTGGCTGTAAAAAGGTCTGGGACTACTTTATATAAAAAGGTCACGGTGGGGCAAGTTCACTGCATTGGGGAAATCTCAGTTTCACCACTAGAGGGCAGAGGAGACCTTCTCAATCCGTCACGCTGGGTTAGAGTGGGTGATGCTGTGTGGACATCAGCTGCGTTTTAACCCCATGTGGTTTGGAGAGGCTCCAGCTTGTTGTCACTAATTTCCAACAATAGACAGCCTGCGCTGCTGATAAGAACTTTTTAAAAGGCACAGCCATTGTTGCAGGGCTGCGTTTTGTTTTTTCCTCTGTCAGGAAAAAAAGGAGGCGATAAGCAGTACAAGTGCACAGATCACAATGCCAGATGGATACAAAACAGGAGCGAGCGCGAACAAACTGATCTAAACAGGTTATTTATTGTCTGCCTGAAATTCAAAGAAAAAAGTTTAAAAAAATTAAATAAAAAACCCAGAATGTATTTTTAAAGAAAACATTTTTTTTTTTAAAAACAGCACTTTTATATTTCAAATCAGTAAATATGATGAATCTGGTTTCCTGGACCTGAAGGTGAATGTGTAGCTGGGGTCACTGAGGCTGCTTTGCTTCAGGAACAGAGCCGTGTGATCCCATTAAGGAACAAAGGCTCTGACAGAGGAGCTTCACGTATGCCAGCAGCCCGTATGCTCAGCACGTGCTTCACCTTTAATAATAATGATATAGAGCACTCATGCGTAAATGTATTTCTCAAATGCAAACATAGAATAAATCATCACAGCCTTCCTGTTGACTGAAGTCGCATATCATGGCCTGATGAGGTAGTGAAACAGCTTTCAACAAATGCCTGACAGCACACAGCTTTCATCACATGCAGAGTCGCCTTGAGCTTCCTGAGCTCAGGGACCTACACGTCGTAGGTGCACGCAAGGACAGGACGCGGTCTTTAACCCGTCGGCGGCCTAATCTGTGAAAACTAAGTGTTTTCAGCTGTGTGAACAGATCTGATCCTTCTTCGTGCAACTTGTTGAGAAAAGGAAGAGTGTGGAAAACAGCTTGCCTGATTCTCCTGAATCTGGAGGAGTAAATAGTGAACATGTTGGAGACTATTTTCAGCAGCAGTTTAATAAACATTTGTAGCTGTGATGATTTCTAACAAAGAAGTTGTACACTTGTTATCACGAAGACTGCAGTGGGGTTGTGTAGAGTGTCTTCCAAACGCCTGGCTTTCTGCTTTTATTTCAGTCACATGTTAATTCTGTAATAATTACAGATACACGATCACAAGGTCAAACATTACCAGACTTCCAGATCCAGCTCCCCCCAGCTATGCTTTCAAACTGTGAAACAAAGGTTTGACAGAAGGTGGGCCTGCTGGAATATTTCACATATTTATTCCCTTCACGTAGGGTTAGTTAACCTATTAACCCTGTTACACACTTTTTTCCTCAACATCATCGGTGGGATTTGTTTTTGTTTTGTTTTTTTCCAGAAAAATCTGATGTATGTAAAATAATACACAAACTGATATTTAAGCTTTTTTATTTTGTTTACTTACTATTAATTTAACATCCCAGTTTTAAAAAATGAGAAATTAATTTAAAATTTTACAGGATTAAAAACATGCAAGGCGGTGTATTTTCATGGCTCTTATGTTTAACAGATTTTTCATTTATTCATTTCTATTTTAATATTTTTACATAATGGTCACTCTGCAATGCCATCTATTGTTTTTAATACTGGTTGTTTGAGGTCTAAATGCAGCATTACTGCACTTAAATAATAATTATTACTAATATCTTACTAGAAAGCATGAATCTCTGATGACAGTTACATCTTAGGCTCCTGAAGGTTCTTATCTATATCAAATATTATTGTGTAATCACGTTGCCAGGCAACACCTGTCGAATGGCTAATACTGTATGAGCCATTTTTAGCATTTATGAACCTATATGACCCTACAAAACCATTAAATCGTTGCAATTTCACAACAATAAAACCTGATTTAGATCCAGAAAAAGAAAACTGTGATATAAATGATGGCGTTGCCTGCCAACTACCTTTCGAAACCACTGCAATAGCACTGACCCGTACCAGCTTGCATAAATGTATAGATTAAATGATTAATCTCAAATTTAAACACCTAAAAAAAAGCAACTACGTTAAATTTGACTCCATTATTTCACTTTCAGGGTCTGCTGTGTATATTTTAATCAGGAATCCTGTAATTTTGTGGTTTAAGTACTTTACTTTTTCTCTTTTTTTTTGCAACTACAGAAGAATGAGATTCACGGGACACAGGCTAAACACAAAACTACTAATATCAGGATCCATTCATTGCTTACTTTTACTGACAAATAAAAGTAAAGAGCACGGCCAGCCTCACAGTTTGAATACTTCTAAAGAAAAAAGGTATGTCAGATTTTTGCTGACGCTCAATCAGAACTCATTCTTAAGATGTTTATTTTGTTTTAAAGGAAGTTTCTTCAAGGCGGCATTCACAGTGTTGGGCCTTCACAGGAAAAGAGGCCTGAATAGCTCGAGGCTGATGTTTGAAACAGCTGACATATAGCAGATGTCAAATCTGCAAAAAGTGTGAGTTTTAATGTGCGTGTGAGAGCTTTTTCTTTCTTGAAGTGGCTCAGACTTATTCACAGAGATTAGGATCAAATCGCACAGCTGTTTGCATTTTTAGCTCACAGACACCAGTGAGTCTTTTCTCTTATCTAAATATGATGTAAGAGTTGAGGCCAACTTTGAGCCTGGAGTCATTGATGAGTCTCGCAGACCTGAGCGTGCGTCACAGAGTCGGTAACTCGAGGACATACAACTTTTTTTTCTATTTTTTCCCTCTCCACTGTTTCTCCAACAATAGGCCTGAATACACTCTTACACACATCATTGTTTGAGAATGAAAGATGACCTATTTTAGTCCATTTCCCTCTGGCAGCACATCAATCAGCATTTTTTTTTTCACAACTCTATTCAGGTAGTGATAAGACACCACCCATTTACCGTCAGTATCCAGTCTGCAACACTTCCTGTTCTCAGAAACCACCACCAAAAGAGAAAAGAAAAAAATGCTGACCGTCTTTCCATCAATCTTTAGCTGCAATCTTGACAGGCTTCCCTCCTGGCTGATCTTCAGTTTATGATGCGACCACAACTTTAACCGTCCCCCTGAATGTTTCTGCTAAGCAGAAGCAGCCTGTTCACTCAGGGTTTTTTTGAGCTGCTGAACCTTAAGAGAGTTCACCTCTCGCCTGTCCTGACAGGATTCACGGTTACCCAGACCTCAGTATCAAATCATCACCATAACACCACGATGACTCACTCAGCGGTGAATCAGCCGACACGCTGTCCCTGCTCTCACGTTGGTGATTTGGGCTGCTGGGAAGGCGAGGACGGGACCTGCGATTTGGGACTCACCGCAATGACTGCAGGCATTTCGAAGAAGCCGCAGCCTGTTTTACTCTGTGTGTGTGTGTCTGTAAATAATGTTTGGGGCTATATTTTGTCTACTCTTTATTTGCAGACAAACTAAATAAAAATACTGGAGATGGTGTAGAAAGTAAATCAGCTACGAGGAAATATTCTGTTGTCTTTAATAACCCGATGATACTGATGTTGAATTTTTGCATATGTTCCAAAAGTTTGTATATTTTAGTACTTAACCGTCATTTTTTCAGGCAAACAAAGTCATCCTTTCCGCTTCCCCATTCCTCAAATGCAAACACCTCCTCTGTTCTGTTAGAAAAGACGGTGAGCTAAATATCTTTGAGTTTGTCACATAAAACAAACAATTACTGTGGGCAAAAAAAGTAAAAACGTTTTAGGAAACTAGATGCATCGCCCAAAAACATCATCATATTTAATACTTGCATTTGCCAGTGTGCAAATGTATTATAACTGACGCCATATGGATTATGTAAGACTTTAGTCTCCGCGCAGAAAAATATATGAGGCTCAAAATGAGCTTTGGTAATCGCTGTTATTGCAGATGACAGCATGAAGTCAAGGTCGAGGTGCGCTGCTAGTTAACGAGGCACACAGATCTAATAACCTCTGTTAACTCATCAAAACAACAACAAAAAAAAGCAGTTAGCCAACCAGACAGGGTGTAAGCATGACCGTTTAGATAACACTCAACTCGTTTTGCCTGAGGACTTTTTTTTTTTCAAAATGAAAGTTTGCAATACGGAGGTTTTTTTCCAGCGAGTCTTCAAGAAGAATGCGTTTGAAGTCGTTCAGGAACAGGAAGTTACATTAGAGCCCATCTCAGCTGCTGCAGCTTTCCTCTGCAGGCTCAGTGAGAGGTCTCAGGCCTGACATTACAGGTCTGTGGTCAGGGATCAGGAAGCAACCTGTGACATTAACCTGTGACAGGGTTAATTTGTCACGCAGGCCAGAAGTAGAGCATCACGCATCAAGTGATCTGCTTGAAGCTCTAACATTTACAGAGGTTTATTTCAAAGTCTTCAACATCATCTTCCTTCCTTCCGTGTATCCATGTCACAGAGGAATCAGTCCAAGCAGAGACATGCAGACCTCCTTCTCCCTGGCTACCTACTCCAGGTATTCCAGGGGGACACAACAGCGTTCCCAAGCCAGGAGAGATATACTCTCTCCAGCATGTCTGCCCCAGGGCCTCCTGATGGTAGGACATGCTGTAAGCACATCATCTAGGAGGTTCCCTAAAGCCATCTTAGTCTTTGCTCTTCAACCTCTAAGGCTCACCAACCCCTCAGAGCAGTTTCACTCTTTCAGTCACTGCCCAGAGCTCGTGGCCACAGGCGAGGGGCAGGAGCGTAGATCGCCCAGTAAATCGACAGCTTTGCTTACCTTTTTCACCACTACAGATTGTGGTTTCGATCAATATACTAGATTGCCCACTTTAATGTTTACGGTTTGTATAAAATTATCAGCTTCTAAAAGCTTTTATTTGACAATCTGAACTTTCAGATGAGTCATTCGGAGCCAACTTCCTCTATAAATGCTGAATTTAAGTCCAGTATTCTCTCTCTTTTAGCTCCATTTTTGGCCTCCACCAGCAAAAAACAGCAAACAAGTTTATAGAGAGTAGTGAGAAACCCCAAAATAATTAGCCGTATGACTCTAATACAGCAGATTTTTGTGACATATTACAAAAACCTTTTGGAGAGGCCTAAAAATAGTCAATCCTAAAAGAGTGTTGTGGAGCACAATAGCCCCTTTTCTTACTTTCTTTTGGCCCACAAAGGGCTTCAAGGACAGCAACATGTGTTTTCATGAGTACTCTCCTTGATATTGACTAACACCCACAATAAATTTTTATTATTTATATTTTACTACCCGGTTCTCTCACAGCCAAATTGGACTCTTTTTGTCTCCTACAAAAATGAAAATAAGCTGCAATAAAGTGAAATCATCCTTTTAATGAACTCAAAACTAAATTTTAATGAGTTTTCATGTGTAGTGAGTTGTGCACATGTGTGGCTGCACCTCAGAAGAAGTTCTTGATGAGTGGCGTGACCAGTTTCACCCACAGTTTAACGTGGCGGTCGGGCCGCTCGAACGTAGAGGTGGACACTTCAGTGGAGCGCCGGTACAACATCTCCTGCTCCTGGGAGTTTAAAACGCAGGTGTTCGTTCAGTTACGCAGACTTACACATTCATTCATCATCATGTCTGGCTGTGGTTTGTGGAAAATAAAGAGCCGACCTCCTGCAGCTGGCTCTGCAGCTCCTCATTCTCCGTTACTATGGCAATCTGGGCCTCCAGGTCACGGTGAACCGAGCGGTAACCGAAATTAGGGGAGCCAATTAGAGTGAGGCAAGGCCGATCCTGCCCCTGGAGGTAATACCACAGACCTGTGAGAGAGGAGAAAAGGAGTGAGCCAGCGAGGAGGTAATGCTTCAGAGAGCCGTTTCCAGCAGAGATTTCTGCCGGCCTAAACCACAACTAAAAGGAAGCACATGCAGAAATCCCCAGAGCAGATCCAAAACCCTAAAATATGAGAGAGAGTGAGTGTGCATCCTCGTCCCGAGGCTACAACACAGTGACTGTACAAGTCCTCGTCTCTCACGCTACATACCGCTGCGACCACAAGAAGAACAGCAGAGGAGGCAGAACAGCGAGAGTAATGTGTTTTATCATTTTCACTGAGACAAATACAGCTCATCTAGACGTCCAGTCCTGGCTCAACTCGCAAAATCTCATCAGATGTTGATCTGCGAGTATTTTTTTGCATGTGAGGGGGGAAAAGAAAAAAAATTGCAATCATACTGAACAGTTGTTTCCATTTGTCAAGGGATAAATACATTTATTTTGGACATATTAGTGGAAAATAAAAGGAGAAAAACAGGCTGAATGAAGTCCAAACTCTGGCATGTTCTCATAATGCAATCAAACATTTGAGATCCACTTGATCTGTCCTTTTATAACAATGAAAAAAAGTGGAAGGATCTCTTCAGGATGTTAAGTTTGCTCCTTTTTCGGGACTAATAAAAGTGAGGCTAACCCTTCAACTGCAGTTCCTGTCCAATTTCAGCACCGGAATGAATCAGGTTTCATGGATTTAACAGATAAATAGGGCCTGCATTGATGTACAGCCCATCTAAAAACAAATAATAATGATTTGAAATTCTAATATTGCGTCACTCAAGCACTAATTAGCAGATGTGTGTGTGTGTGTGTGTGTGTGTGTGTGTGTGTGTGTGTGTGTGTGTGTGTGTG